CCTTTACACTCCCTAGTTTTTAACAGGCTTAGCTAAAACCAATCCCCTTTTCACAAAAAGAAGAAGAAATGTAAACAAGAAAACATCTCTAAGGTAGGGTGTTTACAATAATTTTAAGCTCACAAAAACAAATAAAAAAATTTGCAATAAAGCTAAAAACGCAAATATTTACAAGAGAAAGAAAAATAAAGATTGAAAAACTCTTCTATTGTGTTTGATTGCTTGGATAGGTGTTCTGACCCTTCTTTAAGTTTCCTTAACTTGTTTTTATATATTGGAATGAGTTTGTAGCAGTTTCTAGTCGTTGGGGATGATTTGGAGTCGTTGGGGATTAATTTTCTACAAAATAAAACTGCTCATGACAGGGAGTATCGGTACTCTTTTAATGAGTACCGATATTACCTTTGTAATTTTTAAATAAACTAGCTGCTACTAGCCGTTGGGCTTGACCGATATTGATACTATGCTAAGGGTTTTGATACTACTGTGTAAAGTAGGATCGGTACTCCTTTGAGTATCAGTACCTATTTTACATTCTGGAATTTGAGCTATTTGAAAAACAACTGGTAGTATTGATGCTACCTAGAGAGTATCAATACTGCAAGAACAGTATCGGTACTACGTACCCTGAAAAACAGTTTTGTGCTCAAATTTGAGTTTAATGGACTTTGAATTATTTTTGAAAACTTTGAACAAAATCAATCAAGTCCAAAAACATTTTGCCTTAATTTGCTACATCAAAATATTATAAAACATGGTTCAACATGTGACAGTCATTTTTATAACAAAACATTTGAAAAATTGTTTTTGGCAAAACTCCTCCTTAATAAAACTTTTAATGAAAAATAGACATATTTGGAAAGTATTAAAGCTCCTCATTTTTCATTGAGAAATTGAATTTTTCAAATCCATACTTCTCACCCTTTTTGTTATATAAAAATAATTCAAACATTTAAGATACAAAACAACAATGGAGAGTAAGTAGTAATTTTAAAATTAAAATCATTTGAAAAATCAAAGCTCCCCCTCAATAATAGCATTCAAACAAAAATTTGACTTTAAAAACGTGACACTTAAAAGACATTGAATTTCAACAAAGATGAACAAACATGTTAATGACACATGAAATTCAATATATCCAAGTCTAAGATACTTTATGCAATACTAATTGTTGTATTTAAGTGCATGTGCATAAAGTCATAAAAAAATGTTATGCATTTGAAAAATTGATATCAATTGTTAGAGAGATATTAGTTGCAATAAATTACATGCATAAACATTGAAATTAAGGTCAAAAATAAAAATTTGTAAAAATAAAACATTAAAACCAATTTTGACCAAAATCATTATGATGAACAAAAATTTATGTAAAATCATTAAAACATTAGACAATGTTTATCACAATTCTTTTAACATACATGAGATATAAAACATAAAATTATTTAAAATCAAAACTCATGCATGCTTAAACCAAATGAGCAACCAATTATGCAAGATAATCGAAATACACGTAGAGGTTACCCATCCTTCTTTTGAAGTGTGGCTAGAACATTTGAATTTCTTTACTTTTGTCATCATTCTCCCACACACCTACAAGAGACATTTAATTAGATTTTGGTTTCCAAATTGCTTTGGACCTTGAATGTTAGTTTCAATGCCCCTTGTTCCCTTTGGAACTCATACTTGTTTAATTTTAAAACATTTTCCTTTCTGTAAAGGACAAGTATGTTCCAAATGACTATGGAAATGACAATATGAGCATTTTGCCATTTTTAAATATGATGAATTGTTTTGTGAAATTAATTCCTTTTCTTTTGTTAAATTTTTAAACTAAACTTTAAAATCAAGATTTTGTTTTTCCAAATCATTGATTTTGATTTTAGAAAGCTCAAAATCATTTTTTAAAATTTCATTTTGTTTTTCTAAATCAACTTTTGCTTTTAAAATCAAATCATTTTCAACTTTAAATTTTGAAATTAATTTCTTATATTTGGAATTCATGGTCTCAAATTCTAAATACAATTCATAATAGGCAACTTGTTACTCATTAAGGGAATAAGAATTTGATTCACTTGAGTTAGAAGATACCTCGGGCTCTTCAAGAGCCATTACACACACCACCTTTGTTGGTTCTTCTTTTTTGTTTCCATGAAGTTCATTGAGCTTATTCCAAAGCTCATTAGCATATGAACAAGAATAAACTCCTTCATAAACATCGGGACCAAGTGCACAAAACATAATGTGCATGACCTTAGCATTTTGTTGAGCTTTCTTTCGTTATTGGGTACTCTACTCCTTCGTCTTATTCTTTGGAGAAGAGAAGTTGTTATCGATCATCTCCCATGCATCAAGATCATTGGAATGTATGAATAACTTTATTAATTTCTTCCAATGACGCTAGTTGGCTCCATTGAAGTATGAAGGCTTGTCGATCGGTTGGGAGTATTCCATGTAGAACGAGTCGGAGGTGGAAGTCATCTTCTCAGTTGTGTCAGAAATGGATAGAGCTTCTTCAAGGATCATCTTAAGGTTGTTAGACCTTCTAGCGAGTCAAACTCTGATACCAATTGTTGGGATTGTCGATGAAGCTCAATGATCAACCAAATGATTTGGTAAGAGTGAGTGAATTGGTTTTTGAGTTTAAGGAGTATGGAGTAAAAAGATAAAACAATTTGCACAAGGATTTATAGTGGTTCGACTTCTCAACCAAGTCTACATCCACTACATTTGCTCCTCACTATGGATTTTCTAACAAATTTACTAATTTGTTCTTTCTTTTTACATGATCAAAAGACAACCTTTACACTCCCTAGCTTTTAACAGGCTTAGCTAGAACCAATCCCCTTTTCACAAAGATAAGAAATGTAAACAAGAAAACTTCTCTAAGGTAGGGTGTTTACAAGAATTTTAAGCTCATAAAAACAAATGAAAATATTTGCAATAAAACTCAAAACACAAATATTTACAAGATAAAGTAAAATAAAGATTGAAAAACTCTTATATTGTGTTTGATTGCTTGGATAGGTGTTCTAACCCTTCTTCAAGTGTCCTCAACTTGTTTTTATATGTTGGAATGAGTTTGTGGCCTTTTCTAGCAGTTGGGGATTATTTGAAGCCGTTGGGGATTAATTTTCTACAAAATAAAACTGGCAAGGACAGGGAGTATCGGTACTCCTTTAAAGAGTATTGGTACTAACTTTGTAATTTTTAAATAAATTAGCCATTACTAGCCGTTGGGCCTGACCAACATCAGTACTATGCTCATGGTATTGATACTTTTGTGTAAAGTAGTATTTGTACTCCTTTAAGTATCTGTACCTATTTTGCATTCTGAAATTTGAGCTATTTGAAAAACAACTGGTAGTATCGATACTACCTAGAGATTATCGATATTGTAAGAACAGTATCGGTACTATGTACCTTGAAAAACAGTTTTGTGCTCAAATTCTAGTTTAATTGACTTTGATTATTTTTGAAAACTTTGAACAAATTCAATCAAGTCCAAAAACATTTTGTCTTAATTTGTAATATCAAAATATTATAAAACATGGTTCAACATGTGACGGTCTACGATACTGACGTGATAGTCGATAATGGTTGGTGACATGGCTAGTAACATGGCAGACGTGTTAAATTAATTTTTTTTATTAATTTTGATGGTTATATTGTTTTTTTAAGTTTAAAGACTTATTTGATTTTAAAAAAATATTTTAAATTTTAAATATATAAAAAGTAAATATTAAATTATTATATTACTAAAAAAATATTAATATATATATACACACACGTTAACATGGTGTTTGATATTGTTAAATGATTTACTGAATTTATAGGCGAATTCTAATTTTAGTTTATTTTATTTTGTATTATAATTATATTGTTATGTTTGTACATATCAATTCTAATATGAGTTTTATTTTATTTTTATTTTGCAAAGACGAATTTTTTATTCCTTCAAAAAATAAAAAAATAAATATTAGTGGTGACAAAAATACCTCAAACACATGGAGTCCAAACCCACATTGACTTTATAGAGTTGTATCTAATGGAAATTGACAGATATGTCGATTTTCCTTCTTCTTCTTTTAGCAAAAGGGTACACGAGACCCTTGTTATGTTCACTAAAATATTTCTTTTATACGAATCAAGCAACCTCTGTGGTAAAAGAATTGTTGTTATTCCTTAAGGTCTTGGGTTCGAGCACTAGGAATGCTAAGTGTACGAGCGTTCAATATTAAATGGTTGAAATGTATCTTTAAAATATATTATCTTGTACTTATCTCAGATTAATAAAAAAAGATTCATATTGATTATATAATTATTTTTATATATTTTTTTAAATTATACAATCTTATGGTAATTTATAAATGAATTTTAATTTTATAAGACATAATAATATTTATTTAATTCAATTTTATGAAAAAAATCAGTGAAATAGAATTAGAAAGACATTTAGAGTTTAAGATAATTAGAGATAAATATATAAAATAAAATTTGTGCATGATGAACAAATTTAGATTTATATAAATAAAAAAAGTTAAATTCGAGATGAAAACTAATAATATATATTTTTAATTTTTAGCAATTTATTTTTTATTTTTGGCATTTTATTATATTTATTTTTTTGAATATTTTTATATATTAAATTTTCAATATTTTTTTCTTCTAAAAAATCAAATATGTACCTAAACTTAAAAAAATCAATTTGACTCTCGAACTCAATAAAAAATAATTTAGTCTATCTATCACGTCATTAGTCACACTAGACTACTCTATTAGCATTGTAGATTGTCACTCAATAACGTGAAGTATCACATCACTATCATAACGGTTAACGACGAAAATCGTAAATTTATTAAATTATTTTTTAAATTTAAGAGCTACGTTGAAATTAAAGTTAGTTCGAGGATCATATATATATATATATATATATATATATATATACACACGAAGAATACAAGGTATTTTTTTTAAAGTTAATAATAAATTACTGGAAGAAAAGTATAAGAACTGAACCCTAAACGCCTAAACTACACTTTTCCGATCCCTCTTCGTCCCAAGAAATAGAAATTGGAGGGAGGGGAAACCGTTCATGAAATAAAAGAAAAGAGTTCGCGGTTTTCCTGATTTTCTTTGCAATGGTAGGGATCATGGATCCAGCTTCGAGAGAAAAGCTCGAGAGTTTATCCAACTCAGTGAAGTTTGCTAGTGACTTAGGTCCAAAACTAGAGTTTTGTCGTCAATTGAAGCATGATTTGTTGGAGGAAGACGCTGCCACTTTGTCCGAGTTCCTTCCTCGTATCTTAGACCTTTACTCCGACCCGTCCGGTCCGGTCCGCAAACTTGCTACCCAGTACGCCTCCTTTAAAATCCCTACTTCAATCCGCTACCTCTTTGCTGTTTTTTTATTGCTTATAAATTATTATTTTTTCAATTAAATGTAGGATAATTGGTGAAATTGGAGTGAAACACCTCGAATTCGTACCTGAAATTGCACCCTTTCTGATAACTGTTTTGGAAGATGCTACACCTGCTGTTGCTCGACAGTCTATTTTTTGCAGCATTGATTTGTTTCGTCATACTCTCGAAAAGATTACAATTCAGGTTTGTTTCCATAATCTTATTTTGTAGAATATTAATTTTGTGAACACTAGCTTTTCAAGGATTCAATTATTGATAATAAAAAGTGTTTAGTTTTGTTTTCACTTGCTGTTGCATTGTATTTCATGTCAGTTTCTGGAAAGTGATGGATGATTTGACATCATTTAAGCTTTACATTAGGCAGTAGTCTATTTGCAGCTTGCTAATTTAAGTTGCACCTTCTACAAATTCACATGGTGTTTGTGTTTGTTTCAGGGCCTTCAGTCCAGTGAATTGGCCAGTGATCTTGAATCATCATGGTCGTGGTTGTTAAAGTTAAAGGAGAAGATATATTCTATAGCTTTCCAGGTAGCTTTTGACTCTTTCTGTTTCATGACGATTCAAAATTAATTCCTTACCTGATTAATTGTAAAATTTAATCAGCCAGGAAGTGGTGGGATAAGATTGGTGGCACTGAAGTTTGTGGAAGCAGTAATTCTTCTTTATACTCCTAATCCTAATGGCTCTGCAGAGCCCCCTCCTAATGAAGGTAATTTGCTTTAGATAGTTGTCTCATCAAGGTTAGAGCACTAAGAAAAAGACTTTCATAGTCATTTTAGTACGTTATTGACTAGCACTTAACAAATTTTATTTGTCCTAATCATTTTACTTTGTAGGAACCCCTATAGATTTTAACATAACTTGGCTTCATGGGCGCCATCCTTTTCTCAATGTTGGGGATTTGTCAATTGAAGCTAGCCAGCGTTTGGTTTTGTTGCTTGATCAGCTTAGATTTCCAACAGTAAAGTCTCTAACAACATCTGTGATTGTTGTGCTTATTAACAGGTATGGTATCCATTCAGCTTATTTCAACTGACTTATTTCTTGGCATTCAGTTCATCACGATTCATGAAAGCTCTATCTTTAACACTGATATGACTTGTGAATAACCAGGAAATGATATCTATGTAAAACAGTTCTAATTTTCAAGTCTGGTATAAAGATGAGAACTGAAAATTGTAGTTTATATAAAAAATTCCACCCGAAGTCCTGTGAGGAAAATTTATTACTGGCATGCTATTATCCTTGAATATGAACCTTTAAATGTTCACTTCCTCATACCGTTCTTAATTTAAGGCATCGACGAAAGTGCAAATTTTGGTTTTCACTTTTGATTATATTTTGTGTTTTTAATTTATTGGGTTTCCATTGTTTTGTCTTTGATATCAGTCTTTCAGCAATTGCAAATAAGCGGCCTGCATATTATGGACGTATTCTACCAGTTTTACTCAGTTTGGATCCCCCAAGCTTTGTTATCAAAGGGGTTCATGTCTATGGAGCACATCATACTTTGAAAATGCCTTACTATCATGCTTGAAATGTACTCACCCAAGTGCTGCACCGGTATCTATTTTATACTGAACTTTCTTTTTCAGGCTGTTATCAATTACTAAGGTTGCATCTCTCTTCTACTTCGGTATTTCTTTTACATTTTACTTGTGCACACCCAAGGGCCGCACTGATATTTGTTTAATACTAAACATTCTCTTTTAGACTATTATCCATTAATAAGTTGCATCTCCCTTTCTACTTTGGTGTTACTTTTACATTTTACTTCATCTGTGAAGATGCTTGTTTTTCACGTACCTTCACATAAGTTGCTTAGTACTTTAGGTAATCATGAGAGATGAATGGGTGGTCTTTTATACTGCTTTTTACCACCCAGGTGTGTTTTCTAATATGGTACCATTACTTATTTTTACTGGTTCATTTACCAGTATCTATAGTACCGTTATAACTGAACTTCCATTACTTGGCATCCATCAAGCACCAAAGTTGAGTACCTTATCCACTTTTTGTTTGATTTATACAGTGGCGGGATCGTTTACTTGGTGCCTTGAAAGAGATGAAAGCTGGAGGACTGGCGGAGCTAGCTCTCATCCAAGTTAATAAAATTAATGGAAGTGTGGAAGACAATAAAGATTATTCTTCAGCTATTAAGGTATCTATAATTTCGTTTAATGTATTTTATGATTTGCATGGGGTGCTGGGTTGTACATCTTTTATATGCACATGGAAATATGTATATTGGACTTCTAAGTATGTTTAAGAACTTACAGGAAGAAAAACCCATGACTAAAGCATGTGATGCTGTTGTTAGCAATGTGGGGAGGAAAAGATCTGGATCTGAGGACAGTAATGATTTGGCTGAAAATGATGGTGTGTCTGGAAAACGTGTCAGGTCCTCGCCTAGTGTATCTGAAGAAGCAACAAAAGAGTTAAACAGGAACACTTCTGTGTATCAGGGTGATATTTCTTCAATTCAATCTACCAAAAGAAAAGATGACGTTGATACCGGACCAGTCCAGCAACTTGTTGCCATGTTTGGTGCCTTGGTTGCTCAAGGAGAAAAAGCTGTGGGATCTTTGGGGATTCTTATTTCAAGCATATCTGCTGACTTGCTGGCTGAGGTAGTGATGGCTAACATGCGTAACCTTCCTCCCGCTCATCCTCACACTGATGCTGATGATGAATTGCTGGAGGACATGTGCATAGTTGGAAGTGACACTCAAGCCAAGTATCCACCATCATTTTTAGTTGATGTTGTTTCACTATCAAGTACTTTCCCGCCAATAGCCTCGCTGCTAAACTCCCAGCAACCAGTTCCTGATGAAATAGTGGTATGATTTTTTCCTTTTTTTGATATAATATGATTTTTTCCTTCAGCCGTTGTTTTACACGTGAAGCAATTAATGCATACAACTTATGTCACACACATTTTATAATGCTCCAACTGGGATTTTAGTTAATGCTTGTTTACTTTTGATGAATTTGGGGGCTTACACTTTTTTTTACCATACCAAAGATGGGCCAATAAACAAATGCTCGACTAATTTTTTGTGTGGGGCCAGTGATTTGATTGAGACACTTTTCTCCTCTTTAATTTGACTTTATCATGTTTGCATTGCTGTTTGGTTTTGATCCAACATGTCTATTTTGTTCAAGATACAGAAAACAGAAGCGGTTGAAGAAGATGATTCTATGGCTGGCCTTAATAGTTCTGTTGCATATGCTGGCATGGGTCATGAAGCTGAAAATGCTCTTTTGCCTGGAATGGAGAAGATTGATGTACTTACTCCATCTGACATCCATGATGTGGGTAATCTTGAAAGTGACTTACCGGGTTTGGGCTCTTCTTTTCATGATGATGGATTATCAGATGCCCAAGCAGCTACCTCATTGGTCTCTACTGATCTAGAAGATGCTAGTCAAGAACAAGGTACAAGTTTTGGTGGAAAGTCACCTCTGCATGTTCTTCCATCAATTTCAGTAGAGAGGTCGGAGGAGTTTAGTCCAAAAACAACAGTTAATGATTCCGGCAGCGTGGTTTCCTCAACAGCAACTTCTGTTGTTTCTTCACGTTCTGTTGTCTTGCCCAAGATGTCAGCACCTGTTGTCAATCTTTCTGATGATCAGAAGGATGCTGCGCAAAAGTTGGCTTATATACGCATCATTGAGGCATATAAGCAAATATCAGTAGCTGGAGGTTCACAAGTTCGTTCTTCTCTGCTTGCTTACCTGGGAGTCGAGGTAGTAATCCTGACTTCTCAAGAATGTCTTTATCTTTCTATTGAGAACATCTCGTTGTGATATATTTATTATTAGTGAATGCCTTGTTTTGGCATTCTGTTTTAAACATGTTTTTGGTTTTTCTTTTCTCAGTTACCATCTGAGTTAGACCTACAGAGCCTTCTAAGAGAACACATCTTGTTAGATTATATCAATCATGAGGTAACTGGTTTTCCATTTTGTATTCATGTTTGGATGTGCTTAAGTTGTTGACTTGACATAAGCTACTTTTTTATATATTCTAATGTCACCTCCGCCTTTTACTTGCTTTTTTTGTTGTCACTGATTTTTCAAACAACTGCTATATTGTTCATTAAAATCATCTAAACTTCAAGCTAGCTAACGATAGTTATTGGATGGCTTCAGGGACACGAGTTGACATTGCGTGTCCTCTACAGGTTATTTGGAGAGGCAGAAGCGGAAAGCGATTTCTTCTCATGTACAACTGCTGCTTCTGCATATGAAACATTCCTTCTGGCTGTTGTATGTATTTTTTCTTGTTATTCCTATCTTGTTCTTCCTGTCATATCCCATGTTTTTGAGGAAATCTCTTTAACGCAGGCTGAAATTCTTAGGGACTCTTTTCCACCTTCAGACAAATCTTTAAGTAAACTACTTGGTGAAGCTCCTCACCTGCCAAAGTCGGTTTTGAATTTATTAGAGTGTTTGTGTTCACCTGGGATTTCAGAGAAAGCTGAAGAGTCACAAAGCGGAGATAGAGTTACTCAAGGCCTCAGCACCGTATGGAGCCTAATTCTATTGAGACCTCCAATTCGAGATGTGTGCTTGAAAATTGCTTTGCAGGTTTGTGATTTATCTTGGATGATACCTCTGAATTGAAGTTCTCTTTTCTATTTTGTTGTTTGACTTTTATTTTCTTGTTACCTTTCAAAGAGTGCAGTTCATCACTTGGAGGAAGTCCGAATGAAAGCAATACGCCTGGTAAGTGTTCATGATGCTATTGAAGAAATTAGATTGCTACTTGCGCTAATCTATCTTATTGTGGAGGATGTATTTTATTTACAGGTAGCAAATAAGCTTTACCCTCTACCATCTATTTCCCAACAAATAGAAGATTTTGCGAAGGAAATACTGCTCTCTGCAGTAAATGTTGATGCTGCAGAAAGAACAGATGCTGAAGGATTAATCAGTGAATCACATAAGGTAACCATATAAATAAGACCTTGTTTTTTACATGCCATCACTTCCAAATCTTCTATATCTGGTTCAATTTGGAATAGCTTGATATATATATTTGATCACTTTCTGCCAGATGGAGTATCAAATAAGCATATGTTCATAGAGATGCACATAAATGCACATGTCTGCTCATACATATATACATGCCTGCATCAACACATTTACAAGTGTTCTTATATGGTGCGTGTAGTATGAAACAATTACCAGGTGCAAAAAAAAAAAAAGCCTTGAGCTCTTCATTTTCCTAGAATTCCCTGTTAATGTGTGTGCATATTGTACTCTCTTTTCCTTAGCCTTCTTTTTTGGTGGGTTTGGGACAGAGCAAGCTAGGTGAGAGGTGAATTTTGTCAGTATATGAAGCATTAACTATCTTCTTTGACCATTTTATTTTCTTTGAAAAAGATGGGGGTGGGGTTATGCCAAACCAAATGCTTAAATACTTCACAGGTTGGTAAAGAAGTTATTCAAAATTAACTGGAAATTGTGTAATTTTATATTGAACTTTTTGTTACCTGTTGAGAGCTATGTAGTGACTTTAGTTATACGTAGTGTTAGATCTATTTGTTGTATTTTTTAATTAACTTCCAACTGTCATTTTTAACAGGATTCTGAGTTGGAAAAACCATTGAATGAGCATCAGTCGATGAGTGCCACTGGTAAAGACATCTCTGCTGATGTTCACCAGTCAGAAACATCTCAGAGTGGGTCATCCCCTTCTGTCTCTGAGGCACAGCGGTGCATGTCTCTGTATTTTGCTCTTTGTACAAAGGTGCTACTTTTATTTTGATTGCTTGATTCTTAAGAATAAATTTTGAGTACTTGTTTCTTCATAGTCCTCAAAAGGGATTAATACTTTGCTGTTATATTCATTTGACAGAAGCACTCTCTTTTTGGCCAAATATTTATTATCTACGGTAGTGCATCAAAGGCAGTTAAGCAGGTATGGTTAATGCCTATTGGAATCTTATTTTAGAAATTATCAAACTCCTTGGTATTCTTTTTTTTTCTTCTTTTTCCTCTTATTAGTTGCACAATGCAGGCAATCCATCGTCAAATTCCAATACTGGTTCGTACTATGGGCTTGTCATCTGACCTTCTTGAAATTATTTCGGATCCTCCTAGTGGAAGCGAGAATCTTCTGATCCAGGTTGGGATAGTTTAATAAACTTGATAATTTTCTGAATCCCTAGCTAATGTTCTCAAGTTTTGTAACCAATTTGCCCTTTTCTTTTGTCCATCCGGCCTCAATGCCAGGTTTTGCAGACATTGACAGAAGGGAAGGTACCTTCTGCAGAATTGATATTTACCATCAAAAAGTTATTTGATTCAAAACTAAAGGTATGAGTAGGTTTGCTCCTTTTCTTTGAGCCAGATTGCTTTGAGAATAACAGTTAAGGTGTGTTTGGTTTGGATTGGTGACAGGATGTTGAAATTCTAGTTCCAGTATTGCCATTCCTACCAGGAGATGAGGTTTTTCTCCATTCTCTGAATAATTTCCTTTCCTTTTGTACTGACCATGACTATTTTGCACTGAATAATGTTTTGTTCAATTGGCTTGTGTAATTGGATTATTTCTGTCAGAACGCAGAAATGTGATTCATGTCTAGACAAGACTGGATAATGCCCTAGAAGTTTCAAGTCCTTGATGAAAGGATATCTTGTCATTTGTGTGTTTGTGGATCATTGGTTATGTTTTGATTTAGAAGATGTAGAAGCATTTAATTATTCAAGAAATTTGGGATCACGACATAATTCATATTTTTACTAAAAATGAAAGGGTGAGCTGTATTACTAAATAAAGATGGAAGTTTGGGCTTAAGGGATGTCCTTTCTAGAAGATTTCATGTCAAGAAGATACCTCACAGATTATTGATATAATGAACAATTCTTACCCTTCATTTTTGTTTTCATTTACCTGTTTCCTTTCATTAAATTAAGAATCATCTTTAAAAATGTTATTCAGTATTTGACTCAAGATATCTATGAGAAATTGGCAGGTTGGGTTAATATCGTCAATGTGGCAAGTACAAGTTGTTAGTGGCATTAGCAACATTGATTCTGTCATGTCTCTTCAATATATGTGATTAAAAGCTTCAGTTAAATTGCCTTTTATATGTTTGACATTTGGTAAAGAGGCAAACTCTTGTCGATGCTCTTTTGGACTTCATGCTCAACAAATTTATTTCAGTTTCTTTTTTCTCCCTATATTTCCTGGTGTAAAGTCTTAATAAATAGCTTCTTCATCTTCCTCTTATTTAAGAGGTTCTCTTTGAATGCATTGTTTTGATTTTCATTAGTGTTGCTTTCACCTTCTATGCTGCATTTTGTTTAACAGTCGTCTCTCTTTCTCGCTAGGTTTTGCTGCTTTTTCCCTATCTTGTAAATCTTCCTCTGGATAAGTTCCAAGTTGCACTTACCTGTTTGCTACAGGTATACTTCTTCCCCTTGCCCTCCAACCCAAAAGTTAAATTTCTTTATTAGAAAATTCACTTTTTTGTTCTTCTACCTGTTGTTTCTAGAGATCATAAGTTATGGTTGCTTGCATACTACAGCTTCACTTTTCTTTTGTTGCCTTTTGAATTCACTTACGTGTAAAATTTTTCACATGGAACGTATTAGCATAATTTTATATTTTATGGTCATTTTCAATATTATATTTTAATTGAAAATACTTCTTTGGGTAACACAACCTGCTTTCGTTTTAGCTGCATTTTCTGCTTAATTGCTAATTGGACTCTGTACCTAGGGGTCATCTCAGTCTGGTCCAGTGCTCTCTCCAGCTGAAGTGTTAATCGCTATCCATGGCGTTGATCCTGAAAGAGATGGAATTCCCTTGAAGAAGGTTTCTTTGTGGTTCCTTAATCTACAATTTCTCTCCATGACTGTTTTCTGTTTCTCTTTTCTAAACATATTAACATATGGATATTCATAATTTAGTATTTTTTTGTCTTCAATCAGGTCATTGATGCATGTAATGCTTGTTTTGAGCAACGAAGTATATTCACCCAGCAGGTTCTTGCAAAGGTGTTAAATCAATTGGTATGTAATATACCACTTCCTTTTATTTTTATCACCAAATTTGGTACCGTCTGCGGCTGAATACAGATGATGAATGTTCTTTCCCATAGGTTGAGCAGATACCTCTTCCTTTGTTGTTTATGCGTACGGTATTACAGGCCATTGGTGCTTTTCCTGCACTGGTAAGAAATTATAATTTAGCTTTCTTTCTTCGGTGATATTATATATAGTTGTAGTTTTTTTTTTCTTGAAGAAAAAAGGCTCCCCAAGTAATTTATATCTTTTGCTAGCATAGCAATCGTGAACAATGGTGTCGTGATTTATAGTTCATTTCTTTTTGTTTCTGCTTTCTTATCAAAAGGGTGTCTTCCAGTTGCTGCACTTTATCTTTTAAATAAGAGGGAAAATCCTGTTTAAGGAACTTAACATAATTAGAAAAAATTTCATGACTGATGAATTGGTTTACCCTTAATTTTGTAGGTGGAATTTATAATGGAGATTCTTTCTCGACTTGTAAGCAAGCAGGCGAGTATATTTATCACATTGACATTTGTTTCTCTCTCTTCATGCTTCTTGCTTATATTTTTAAATCATTGATTTGTTGTAGATATGGAAAAATCCAAAGCTGTGGGTAGGATTTTTGAAATGTGCCCTCTCGACACAGCCTCATTCTTTCAGCGTGCTGCTTCAGGTGCATTCTCTTTTGTTAATTGATTTTGAGAACCCAATTTTGATCTCCCAATACGACCAAAACATGTTCTTTATTTTTTAATTTAATTAATTAATTATTATAATTGTCTTTCAGCTACCCCCTCCACAGCTTGAAAATGCACTGAATAGGACAGCAGCACTGAAAGCTCCTTTGGTTGCTCATGCTAGCCAACCGAATATCCGAACATCACTTCCTAGGTGCACATGAAGAATTATTATTAGTATTATTATTTTTTTTATTGGATGGAGAAAACTTCAAAACATATACTCCATGAACGCCCCTTGTTTCCTTATCACAATCTCTTTTCTCTGGATTTTCTAGGTCCGTATTGGCGGTTTTGGGACTTGCTACAGAATCTCAGTCCTCCAGTCAGGCGCAAACAAGTCAGGCTCACACTGGAGATACAAGCAACTCAGAGAAGGATGCAGTGGCAGAGAAATCAAAAGAATCATCTAGTGCTAGCTGAAGTTTACTGAACTTGTGTAAAGGATTAGAATGTTACAACGGTGTTTGCCATGGTTGGTTGGGTTCACAAGCTCCTAAAGCTGGACTGCCATGACAAAATTTATGCAAGGGGACGGGGACATGGAATGCAGTCGGTACTTATTATCATGCCATGCGTATAATAAAGAATTATTAAATGCCGTTGATAGAGAGAGTCTGGCTGCATATGCTTGAGATTATTGATTTCTCAAAAATTTCAATGAGTTGTAATCAACATGTAACATAGGATTGATCGGTAAGATGAAGTAATGCACAAAAGGATTTGTGACATTGCAAGGATCTACATCTCAAGGTAAATACTTTTGGTCCTCTTTCATGGCATCAGTTGTAGAACTCTGACTTGGCACTCTTTTATCTTTTAATATGAAATTATATTAAGTGGAACCATGCATGCATGATTCATGACTTAGCTCAAGCTGTTTCACAGGGTGAATGAAGTGGATAAATCTGCCTGGTGGATTTACCTCCCCTTGCTTTTCACTGGAATTTACTTGGTCTAGTCGCAGTTTTATTATTGTCCAATCTTTAGGAGGGAAAGGGTTTGAAAATCTGTATGACAAAAAAACCTCAAATTTGAAATGACCTGATGATGCTGACTTGGGCAGTAATATTAAAATCCAACCCCGGTTAATCCAACGTAAAACCATTTTGACATTCGTAATTCACAATTCTATCACAAATCATTTGCGGTATAATTCACTGGTTTGTTGTAGTACCAATCATTTGAAATCATACAGTGGAAGTTTATACATTAATTATTAACCAATACAAAATCTAGATCACACAAATTAGAAATTTAAATCATCATACTTTAATTCAACATGCTTACAAGAATTTCAATTCAAACAGACATGAAATCAAGCCTTAATTGCACAAATAATGTACTTTAGGGATTAAATTGTAATATAATTATTAATTTTTGGACATAAAAATTAATTAATAAATATATTTAATTTTTATTATAATTAATATATTTTCATGAAAAATTATAATTAATTTAAATCATATTTTCACCTAAATATTATTATTATTATTTAATTATATAGCAAGTATTTTGCTTGGTGTAGTGGTTAGATATTAGATCTTGTATTAGAGGTCTTGGGTTGAATTCCTACCATGGAACATTGAAAATACTATAACGCTGTTGTTAATTTTTTATCAATTGATGATTAAAATAGAGGGGGGAATAACGTTATTGACGATTTTGTCAAAAAAAAATAGTGACCAAAGTAGAAAAAAATTAATTTAGTGACTAATGGTATAATTTATCCTAATAATAATAATTTTTTTTATTAAGTTAAGGTAATTACAAAGTAGTGTCTGTTCTAAATACTCTCAACTACGGATGGACCAAGAGGGAGGCGGGTGGGGGTGGTCGCACCTACAAATTTTAAATTTCTATATAATTTAGATATTTTTGTTGAAAATTTGTTTTGCTCCCCCTAAAATTTATAAGTCCGTCTCCCCTTTAAAATTTCATAAGTTTGCCCCCTCTAACATAAAATCCTGCATCCGTTCTTACTTTCAATCATTTGACAAATAACATTCATTCACACTTAAAGTCACTCGAACCCATAATCTCTAGGAATAACAACGATTCCTTTAATCACCGAGACAAGTTGGTTCGTGCCCTAACAATAAAAGGAATATTAAATTACACCAAATTAAAATGTAAAGAATATTGCTCGAGTAAAGTAGAGAGAGGAAAACCGTAATTTGACTTTGGGTTTTGCTGTGGGCTTTGAACGATAAGTTATTTAAGGGGTCTGGTCCAATGCATGCAGATAGTCAAAAAGTTTGAGGCGAAGTAGCAATGTGGAACTCATGGGCGTGACCGCCTGGAAGGTTTATTGTTCAAAGTTTTTTGGATAAACTACAAGTTTAGTATCTAAATTATTACTTTTTTTCAGTTTTGGTATCTACACTATTTTTTTTCAAAAAACCATATTTTCATTTTGGTATCCGCCGCTAAAAGCTTAACGGTGATGTTAACGTATCACCATAAGATAATGTTATGTCATCATTGAAAAAATTTAAAAATACCACGCCGATAATTCTATTAAACTTTTAATGGCAGGGTACCAAATTAAACCCTAAATTAAATGTTAGGTATAATTTTGAAAAAAATAAAGTTTGGGAACCAAAAAGGAACAAAAGTAATAGGTTAGGTACTAAACATGTAGTTTACCCTTTTTAATAGTCCGTGGTAATTAAAAGTAGTATCTGTTCAGAATTTTTTTAACCAAATGACAAAACAATTATATCCTACAAACTTAGTTGCTTAAACTCATAACATTCATATAATATAACATTATCTTTTTATCACTACAACCACTTAACAGATTCAAAGTTAAAAAGACTACTACAAATATTAATTCAATATAAGTTAAAAGTAAATTCAGAAATGGTGTTACCGTCGGTCATTTCTTAATACATAAAAAATATCTATCAATGAGATTGGGCAGTGGGACTACCAGTGATGAGCGAGAGATTTGATGATGAACTTGCAACCATACCTTTTTCCCAATAATACTGAAAACGATTCTGGTCCTTCTATTCAACCACTTTATTTTAATTTATAGCAATTTAATTCTTCTACTTTTATAACATTATATTAATAATAGATTAAAATTAAAAATATTGTATGAAAATTTTCTAAATAAGCTTTAATAAATTACGAAATAATCATAATCCTTTTTATCCATGATTTACTTCTAAATAACCTTTAATAAATTGAGCATAAAGTAATCCAAAAGGCTTTAAAAAAAACGTGCTAGAATAGTGACACGGAAATGGAGACAGGTCAAAAAAAGCCAGAGTATAAAGGGTTTGAAACAGTTGCATTATGGAAATGTCATCATCAATATATATAATCACGTGGAAAATTATGCAAATGTGTTAATTTATTTATTTTTATATAATGTGAAGATTATCTTTTGGAATTATTGTTAAATTGCAATGTAATCGCCGGGAAAATTATGCAGAGGAAAACTCGCACCTGCTCTAACAGTGTAGGTCATTTTTTTTTATATTGGTAAATATTACTTTTAATATAGTATTAATTGATATATTTAGTGTATATGAAACAGATTTAAGTGATTAATTATGTGTGTCATCGATATTAATGTGTTATAGAAATAAAAATGTAAATACCATAAGTTGTATTTATAATTTGATGAAAGTAAGAATTATAAATTCTTGTAATTTAATTTAACATTCGGCTTAAATAAATAATAGTCCCCAAAAAATAAGTTAATTTGTATTATACTTATCTTCATAAGAGAGTTTTTATGGTAAACGTGAACATATCTTCTTTGAAGGTCACCATCACTTTCTAGACGATCATCATCAATAGATTCAAGTATATTTTCATAAATCTAGTATTATATTTTATTCACAATAATTTACCGTAACAAATGATGGATTTAAATTTCATATCAATTACATAAAAATATTAAATCATATATGTATGCATTAATAATATAAGTTATTACAATGTGATATCTGTTCATAATATTCTTAATTAATTAATAACATACATACTTTGAGGGTATAACCGTTAGAATTTAAAATTCTTAGGGAGAATAACAGTTTTTTTTTATTGTTGAGAGTCTGAGACCACGAAATGGATTTTTTTAAAAGATAATAGGAGATGATATTACTAATTAAAATGTAAAATATGTTTGAATGTGTGGAGGAAACTCCACCCGCGTTAAGATAGAATGTGAAATATCAAGGGAATAGAACATGGGTTATATTATATATAGTATTAGTTTGTGAAATGACATCCCAGCTGTGCTATTGTGCAGTACACGATAGTGCCTCGTAAACATAGCCATTACTATATAGCTTCTCAAACTGACATGTCGGCTCCTTTTTTTTTCTGGCTAAAGTTATATATATTGGTCATGTGATGAAAGTAAATAATTTTAACAAGCCGTGAGGGAAAACGTGAAATATTCTTTCACCAAAATTCAACGTCCATCAATTAGTGGGGAACTTTTTTTCTTTTTCGGTCCCTCGTTCTAGATTCATTTTTTCTTATTTAGTCCGTTAAATGATAGCAAAATTGCATATGAAAAAAAATTGGTAAATAGTGTTGATTTTTGTTTATTTAGGGATTTGTAGTACTTTCTACGATAAAAAAAATGAGACGAAATGGATAAAGGAAACAAATCCAAAATGAATGAATGAAAGAAAGTTAAATATAAAAATCTGTAATGAATTTTATTTAAAAAGAAAAAGTGTGTATGAGATAATGATGATGATACATATGCCTCAATATTGTCTTCAATCATTTTGAAACCCTTAAGATTCACAGTATCTGAAATTCCTTTAATATTGCAGCCCCATTTTTCCTTTTTCTCATTTTGGCCGCAAAGTTCTCAATTCTTTCATTTTAACCCAAATTTTGAAAGAAAATTGCTCCAAAGTCTTCTAGAAAGAACGACGACTTTGGGATAAATTGTCATCACTACACGATGACTTTGAATTCACTGTAAAAAATACCTAAAATCCTTAAATAAACTCCGATCAGTCCTTATTCACCCAATATATTTTCTTCAAGTACAATATTACTCTCATTTAACCTATTACTCTTACATATATTTCCTGAAAATGATGAGTCAATTTTCAACCCTTTATATAAATAACTAGGTAAATTATATATTTAGAACATGAACTATCAGTTTTGGTCTATTTTAGTACCTAAACTTTCAATTTTTTCAAAATTATACATAAAATTTACTTTTTATTTCATTTTAATACCCCATCATTAAAAATTTAATGCATTTAATACATAAATATCAGTTTTGATCCATTTTAGTACCTAAATTTTCAATTTTTTCCCTAAACTTAAGCATGATTTAGGTACTAAACATGTTTTGGTACCTAGACTTTTCTTTTTTTCAAAACTTAACGGCAAGGTATTAAAATGAAACAAAAACTAAATTTTAGGTATAGTTTTGAAAAAATTGAAAGTTTATGTACTAAAACAAATAAAAACTGATAGTTTAGGTACTAAATGCATAGTTTACCCTAAATAATTTAGACGTTCAAAACTAATCATTTGGCTTTTCTGAGTCTCGTTCTAGGGTTACTTTAGCATAACTATTAAGAAAATAAGTATTCATTCATATTTTTACTTTTTTACCAAGTTATCAAACAAAGTAATATACTAATATTGTTTATAATCTTATTATGTGACCTTACATCTCATAATGATATTCTTTCATATATTATATGATCCAAACACATCTTAATTGTTTTGTATCTTCGTAACGTGTTGAAACAATAAAATATATTTAAAACAATAAAAGTTTAAATTTATGAAAATAATAAAATTACTCCATCCATTGACAGGATAACTCGAATTATTTTACATAACATTGCTTTTGCTGTAAAAAACAGTTTTGACGGACTTCCAAAGCTATGCCACCAGCAATACTAAATCAGTTCCTGTAATCCATGCATACAGTAATGTAATACGTAAAGAGAGGCTACTGCCACAAACATTGTTTTATTATATATATATATATATAGATCTCAAGAAGATCCCAAAGATTCAACTTGTGCCTTTCCACAAGGACCCTTGGTTCTAATATAAAGCCTATACTCGTCAAACGTCATGGGGCTGTACAGTGCTGGCCGCTCCTCACTCACAAGCTCGTTTGCTGGTTCAATGAGTAAATCACTCTTGGGGTTGTAAAAGAACGCAAGTGAAACACGATCTTTCACTGAATTCACGATCACACGATGCTCGACACTTTTATAAATGGCATTGCTCAGTACCTGAATTTGATCCCCGACGTTGACGATGAACGCATTGGGAACGGGCTTCACGGTAATCCACCTGCCGTTCTTACGAACTTGGAGACCGGCGACGTCGTGGTCGGGGAGGAGAAAGGTCATTCCACCAGGGTCTGAGTGGGAAGAAAGGCCTAGTGTAAGGTCAGGTTGAGGACACTTGGGATAGAAATTGACCCTTAAGCAAGCACCGATGTCCTCTCCACCAAATGCATTTTGCAGATAGTCTTCTTTTAGTCCTAGATTTGTGGACATCGCCTTAAGCAGCCTTCCACCGAGTTTTACAACTTCAGCACCGTATTCTGAAAGCAGTTCCCTGCATAACGATTTACGAATTATGAGACAACATACAATAATAATTATTATTATAGGGATGCAAATTTGATCCGATATCGACTAGTTTTGACTTGACCCTATAGAAAATAAAGAGTTAATCTCAATTATTTTTTTTTCACTGTCATAAATTTCTGTAAAACTATAAAATTTTATATTATTTAAGTGAATCTTATCCCTATATATGTTTGTGTCAGGTCAAGTGTGAATTTTACCCAAAATTCGAATTGGATTTTAGATTGAGTGAAGCTTTCCTGAACTCGAGTCGAATCAAATAATGTGTAGAAAAATAATTATATTCATGTGGAGTTGGGGTGGACTAAATCCCTATTCAAACCGATCCATGCACATCACTTATTACGTAAAAGAATATTCGTTTCCCATCAAAATTTGGTATACAGCGTTAGACTAATTATAGGGTCATATTGAAAACGACCAACACTAACTTTGTCCTTAACCTCGGTAAAATAAGCAAATTTTAAAGCTTAAAAAACATATTAATATAATATTGAAGAAGCCATGCAATTATGTGGTCTGATCATATATATGTTATTGATCAATGCTGGATTCGTTTGTTATTCTTTTCGTTTTTCGCTTAACGTGTTTGATTGCACCTGTTAAGGATTGGTAATTCACCTGCAAGACGAAGGTTGTGAGGGCCACTTGCTTTTATTCCTCAAAGAAACCGGCAAGTAATGAAGAAAGAAGTAATCGCTCCAATCAAGGATGGCTCCTTTCTGGACTCCCAACCGGCTGCCGTAGCCTTCGTAGGTGGTCGGGGTGTTGGCGTACTCTTGTTTGAATTCAAGCGGCATGTTAAAGAAGTGACGCCACGCCTCGCGCATACGCTCCATTAGCTCGTGGCTAACACCGTGGTTCACCGCCTGGAAAAACCCCCACTCCTCGCAGGCGACGGAGATGAGTCGGACGGTCTCTTCATGGAGAGCGGGGTGTTTGCCGAAGAGATTAGTAAGATCAATAACGGGAATATCAACATGTTGGTGGTGGTTTTCAGTTTCATTAGTGAAGGATGGCCGATCACTTGGTGGCTTCACATACCGCTCTGGAATAGCATGCATGCCACTCTCGGACAAAGACTGAACTCGAACTACCGGTTCAGGCCAACTCGCAAGACCACTCATCTTCACGTTGATTCCAAATGAGTAGAAAAAGGAAGAGATATTAGGATTAGCTGAGTGATATTGGTGAAAAAGAAGAGAACAAGAAAGGGGTTTATATAAGGATCAGGCAAGACAGCCCGAGATGAAGGATAAATTTATAAATTGTAAGGTTAGAAATATATTATTAATAAACATAAAAAAATAGGTGAGAACTTAAAAGTTTTTAAATAACGATTGTCTCCATTCACTTCTTGGATCCATCCCTCTGAGAGGGATGCATATTTCGGCGCCGTGGTCAACTTGATAGCTTACTGCAATTTGCGGTAGTAAAAGTAAGTAGGAAAGGAGATAAATGTGGTTGATTTTGACAGAAAATATTAACATAAATGGTAAGAAAGGGTTTAAAGCATGCTGTTTTGGTGGGATAGAGTAGTTAGGTTTGGCTGCAATTACAATTAGTGAAGAAAATGGAAGATTTATAAAGCAGTGGGAAAATGAGAGGAATTTTGGGTCAGCTTAGATAGTGTAATTAATTGACGAGGGATGCCACTAATCTACTAGTAGAATTGGTGGGTGGGAAGTTTCAATTTTGCCCAATTATCAACGTGCGTTTTTTTGAGGAGAGGACTGTGGTGCAACCTTCTCAAGTTTGATTTTTGTTGGGCCCACATGACTTTTTCCAAATGTGCACGTTGCGTAATTACACAATGCCGCAATGGTCCTTCCACCGTAAAGTATTACTCCTTCCTCCTCTAGAATTTTCATTTATTGATTTTGTATTTCATTTAAAAAAATTTATTTATTTTTAAAAATAAATTTTAAATTAAATAATATATATTAAAGTTTAATTATTAAACATTTTTAAAATTATTATTTCTTTGAATTAAACCTACCAAAAAATATTGACCTTAACATAATCATCTAAAATATCAATTAAATGAAATTTTAGGAAAAATTAGAAATGCCAGGTTACCTCAAGAATTACTCTGATTAGATGGTTACCAAGAACTCTCATTCCTCAATTTTTTTATGTGATTTTGATAATCAAATCTAATAATTAACAATCGTATTTATACAAATTAACAATCTACTGACAATTATAATGACTTGATTTAATCTACAAAAATTACTGTGATTAGATGGTTACCCAGAACTCCCCTTTCACCAATTTTTGATGTAATTTTAATAGCCAAATCTAATACCTAAGAATTGTATTTATATAAACTAAAAGTTTACTGGTAATTGTGATGAACTTATACCAAACATTAACCGCTTTACGATCTAAGTATTTACACTCCGAACAAAACTGGAAAAATGACTTTTTCTTCTTCCTCACCTTCTTCATTTTTATAGCATATAAATAAGTATATCGTTTTAAAACATGAATATATCATATAACAAGTATAATTTTTTTTATTATATAGTAGACATATATTTTATTACGTGAGTTTATATTTGTATATTTTATGTATATACATATCTGATATTTAGTAAAAATTGAGATAATATTTATTTATCAGAGTGATTAAAATAAAGTATCTACCAACAACTAGTTGATTTAATGTTCCTTAAGTAATATCAGAGGTTTGAATCCTGACATTTGCGAATGGAGCAAACTAGGTTGGGAGGGTCACCCTTGTCTCTACAGTAACCGATTTAGATTAGTCGGTTAATAGATCAGATACCAGTGATTAAATCAAAAAATAATAATAATAAAGTATCTAAACTAACTGGAATATTCGTTTTTCTATTATTTGAACTAAATGAATATCCTTTGAAAAACCGATAAACTTTAACCTTTTAAATGTTTTCAAATATGTTATCTTGTCTAAATAATTCACGCATTTTCATTTGATTGCATCATTTTTCTTATTACATCGTGATTTATATACGTAAGCATATTTATTTCTGTATTTTAGAAGATAATTATACAATATTTTGTGTTAAAACTAGGGATGACAAAAAAATTCGAACCCGACGGGAAAAACCGAAACCCGAATTAAACGGGGACGGGGACAGGGAAAAATCGTTTATGTTAAACGGGGACGGGGACGGGTTTAGTAATCCCTGCACCGATTACCCAGCCTAATAAATATTAAAACTAATTATTATATATATATATAATATTAATAAATTTAATTTAAATTAAAAAAAATATAATATTTATATATTTAATTTAAATATATAAATTTGGCCCGATACCCGGCCCGATACCCGTTTAAATAACCATTTATGCTAAACGGGATACTCGTTTCCCCGCGGTTTCCCCCGATTACCCGATGGGGATCCCCGTTTAAATCCCCGCAGTTTTTAAGCGGGGACGGGTACGAGTTTTTTAAACGGGGACGGAGACTGGGGACCAATACCCGACCCGAACCCGGCCCGTTGCCATCCCTAATTAAAACATTAAATAAGATAATCTTAAAACATACCGAGTACAGTCTGATTATTGTTTAAAATAAGATAATATTCACCTTAAAGCTGAGTGAATATCGATATTGAAAATTTCTTCAATCTTTTTCGAAAATATTCACTCTATTAAATAGATATGTATTAAAAGATCATAATTTAAGTTAATTAAAAGTTTTTTTAATTATTTTAGAAAATTACTTGTAAACATTCAAACATATCTAACCTCTCAAATGATCTATAATAATTTTTTTTTATTTATTATGATACCTATTTGTTACTATCTGCGAATAAATCTTCTTAGTGTTGCCTTTGGTTGATCTGCTTCGTAACAACTCCATCATTGTGTAACCTACGTGCTCTGGTATTCGTTCATATTTGGATATAATCATTCTTATTCAAGAACTGTCTTTTCCTCCGTTGCAGTCCCAATGTTCACCCGCATGTAAATTGTTGCTCATCCATCAGAGCCAAGTGAATTCTCCGTGGGACTCTCTGACGGTGGGGTTCATGTCTTCGAGTCCCTCGAGTCCGAAAACAGGTGGGGGTTCACGTCTTCGAGCCACTTTAGTCCGAAAACAGATGGGGAGTGCCTCCGCCAGCACTATAGCAGCAACACCTTCAGTTGGAGGTCAAGGATCAGAACAAGCGCAGAGATGACGATGATGAAATCGGGTGACAGAGCACAAGTTATGCTTGGCTTATAGGTTCAGAATAATATTCTCTTTTACCACTGAAACTGCACAATGAATCCTATTTTTTTTTTTTAAAAAAAATCTTGAAGATGGCATAAACGAAAATATAAAATATTTATATGATTATTGCTCAATATAATCTTCATATTTTATAAATCTATAGTTTAATATTTTCAACTATATATTATGCTAAATCTCAACTATTTATTCATGGTATATGTATTTCATTCTTATCCTTCATCTAAATCCAAAATTTTGAATCCGTACTTTGGAACAGAACATTATTTAGAAAAAAGATGATTAAATGAACAAACCAATAAATATTGAATACAAGCAACCACTGTTCCTCCAATCATCCCACTATAAATACTACAACTTCATGGTACATATAAACCTAAAATTATAAAAATAGAATTTTGACGATAAATGGGAAAACCTGAAGCTTATTTCTATACAAGGTTGGTTTTCTTTATGGAAATTTGAAAAGCCAATAGTACATGTGTATTATGTATGCCTTAGTCAACTGGAACTTCAACCTCCATTTTCAGTCCAGAGCTCCCCAAAACCTATGCCATAAATACAAAGCAATGCTAACTATCAAAGAGCATTATTTAAGCAAAATTATAGCCCCCCAAATCAAACCTTAAAGTAAGCAATAATAAACAGAGGTTTTATAAATGGACATCACTTCAGATCCTTTCAGCAGTTTTATAAATGTTTCTCAGTCGCCTTGTAACTTCTGCATATTTACTTGATTGCAGAATATGCAAATACTTTTGAACTAATCTGTGCTCTTATTAGAGGAGCCAAATTGTTGGGTTCCTAATACACTGCTATGTCGAGTAGTTTATTCAATCGCGGTCTTATAGAAGCAAATTACCAAATTCCTAGTTGCAGAAAGCACAGAAAATGCAAGCAACAAATACAGTTGTTCACTTCCTTTTTTACCCAACAGAATATGGAACTTTAAAATAAGGTATAAAGCCAGTGAGATATAGCATAGTAGTTGTTCGTCCAAGCCTCCAAGGTCTTTCATCAAGTATAAAAGGTCCAAAATTCATATTACAGCCAGAATCAGTCAAGAGCATGGCGATTTAAATTTTATGTAGGCAAGGAATGCCAACCTAAGATTGGTAAATGGTATGTAAGACCCATGTTTGCTGGAGCAAGGGTGAGTTAATGCATGCATTGGATACGGGTAACTTTTCATAAGCTTTCCTATATATTTGGAGAATCACACCCCATATCAATGTCCACATATATATCAGACAAAGGTGTTAAACATGATACTTTAGGGAATATGTTAACATGGAGTTGGACAACTAAACGATATAATCCTACTGATATTTGTTAACTATAATTGTTTATGTTACTCTGACTTGAATGTGAGAGTCCATGAAATTGACTATATGATCTCTAACTATATCCTCAGATTTTAATCATACTGATCTCTCCCCGTCATTAATTTCCTTTTACCAGCCTAATAAATTAAACTCTTATGCAGAAAACAGGAGAATGAAAAATATAATAGTAATATAAACAAAATGTAAAGCACCTTAATGAAGTCATCCAATGTTAGGTAAGAGTCCTTTGAGTAACCTGCTTCCTTCAAAAGTTGGGTCAAGACTTGCTGCAAAAAGAAAGAACAAAAAAGTAAGATGTTAACGCACGCTGCTCACATATGATCAATCTCACATGTTTCTATCCATAACAGAGAAACCATAAAATAGTCTATCTTGTTCAAAGTAATGTTACAACCAAAAGGAAATGGAGATATTTACTTATATAAAATACAGAATGATGCTTAACTTTGAAAATCTTATTCTGTAATTTAAAGAAAATCTTAAGAATGCAGTAGTCAATGGCACCAGTCAATCATCATCATCATATGATGCAATCACTAAACCACTACTAGTCATAATTAGTAGGCACTTTAGTCCGATGCATGCTTTTATGCACCAAACACCCTACTTGAAACAGCTTTGATCAAATAGGAGTTTACTAACTACCATGATAGATTTAATGAGGAACATAAACTAAAGTAGAATTGTATAAATTCATCAACAGCCTCAGTAAATCATTTTCTATTGACCAAGCTATTTTCTACAAAACACAAGAAAATGAAGAAACATTTCCCGAAAATAATTTTGCATGAAACAGACCTTCAGTTAGGGTCATCTCAGTTGAACTAATAATGAAGGTGCTCATTGCATATATTAATCAGATGAAAAGAAAATGAACAACTAAAACACTTCTTTCGAATCCCTTCATATCCAAAATGGAGTGAATGAGCCGGAAAGTCAAGCCAATCATGCAAACACTTTTCTAATGATTCATTGTAAATGAAAATCATCTGCTTCAGAAAGAAAATAAAAAATTTAAGAGAACCTACAAGATCAGTTTTCTTTAGTTCTTTTTCCATGTATTGGTGGATAGTCAAACTGTCAATTTGAGACAAAAAAGATTGTAACAATACATTTCATTCTCGCCTCCGAAGTTATCTGAATCCGGATACAAAGAAAAAATGTAAACATATTAATTACAAATAAGACTGTTTTGCATTTTTTCCTCAATGATTCTCCATTTCCCCTTTTATTGCTAATTTTGTAACAGGTTTTTCATTTTTCTTTAGCATCAAAAACAGATATTGTTAATTGGATATGTGAACTAAATTTATTCATTACATTAGATGTTTTCATTGTTTTTCAATATGCTAACAGCACGAGTGCACTGGATATCCCACAATGGATACAATCAGCAAATCAAATAAGTGAATTTATGCATATTTAACCCATCGAAAAGTAAATTATGGTCAGAATACAAGTAATTATCAGCATTAACTTGCTCTTTTATTTTCTTTTCAATCAGATGATATAACAATAAAAGGAAAACCATAGAAGGAAGAAATAATTGGTTTTACCTCTCTTTGGTTATCAGAAATAAACGAACCGGACAAATCACAGAACACTTCTAGAATGTCATGGAAAGACACCTTTCCATTGCCATCAGAATCATACACTTTGAAGATAACTGAAACAGAGAAAAAAATTAATAACATAAACTAATTTTGAAACATTTTTAAACTTCAACGAACAAGGGGCAATAAAAAGGCACCCAAAAGGTAATCATCTGAATTCTTTTTCTTGTGACCATTGATTCAGAATCAGATTGTACCTAACCGACAAATTCAATCACTCTAGGGAAAAGACAGTGAAAACTCACGTTTTATTTTCTGCTGTACACTTGCTTTAGCACTGAATGCTGACAAGAAGGCAACAAAGTCCTTAAAGTTCAAACGATCCACCATCTTAAGCAGCCTCTGTAAATGCCAAGACATCAACAGAACAAATCCAATCATTTACATAAAACTATAACACAGCCTGCAAACGCTAACATTAGATCACAAATTTATATTCACATCCAATTTAGTTAATGAGTCCAATAACATCAACTCGAAAGACTACCTGAGAGAGCGGATTCATTGCAAACTCCGGAACTGATAATAACTCATCAGCTGATATAAATCCCTTCGCATTTCGATCTAACTGAAAAAACCTTTGGTACAATGAAACAATTTCCTGCTGGGAGACTGCATTCCCACAATCAAGAACACGTCAAAATTTGTATAATAAAACAACAAAATGGAAGAACAAATCAAAGAAACCAAGCGTATAGACAACCTACATAATTTATGGCAGTGATTTTGAACTTCTTCGATATCATATTGAGTAAGCATCGAAGAAGAATTTCCCATCGTGTCTCACTGATAAAATCTACAATTTTCCATCAAATAAAAAAGAAACAACTAACCTTTATCACTGAATAACTAATACCAATTGATATAAATACAAATTACGTTTTAACTTTAATGGATACAAGGAAACCGAAAGGTAGACCTCAAGATGCCCATGCAATAAACTAGGCTTGATAATAGTACTAATCGGCTAGCTACAAGTAGGTAACTCTACATTACATACAAAAGCGAACCCATCAAACAAGTAGGTAACAAAATTTATCAGTACCCGTCAATTAGAACATTAATTACCTTAAAAAACACTTTTCAATGAATTGAAGGGCAACAAACCTTTGAACTGTTTGGTTCCAGAGAAAAGTGAGAAACAATAAAATAAAAAAAAAAAGCGAACAGGCCGAGCTTGAAGTGAAATGTTTTTTTTCCTGACGAAACAGTCCAGCACCAGAACAAAAGTATCAAGACCCTTACAGATTTTTTTCTGAGCAACAAAATAGAAAATCCAAGAAAATAAAAAGAATGAGAAAGAGTTTATCCTGAAATAAGAAAAAAGAGAAGGTAAAGGAGCGTTGGAAAGGGAATAATGAAGATGGATTAGGGAAGTAGAAAGGGAGCGCGCGCGGCAAAAACCCTTGTCAACATCCAACTTCCTAATAAAAACAGCAAATCAAACGTGTGTACCTGAGCAATTTATCTTCTGTTTTGGGCCTGCATCGTCTTCCACTGAGTCCATCCTCTCTTTTATTTTTAAAAATAAAATTTAAATTAATCTTTAAATCTCGGATTTTTTATTTAAATAAAATTAAGGTAAACAGCACTGATGGTCATTCATATTTTCAGTTTATTCAATTTTAATTATTAGTTCTAACTTTTTTTAAAATTTTGTCACTCCATTTAATAGAAAATTATCTTTCCATCGTCAACTCTCCCACTCCAATAATAGAAATTTGATTTGATATTTAAATAAAAAACAAAATCCACCTAAGTAATACTTGTGGAAAACACTCATCCAACCGAGGCGATGCCAACAAACAAGAAAGCACTAATTTCCCCATTCGTCACCTTGTTTATTGCCACTCTCGTGCTCTCCCCGACACACGTAGCCTTAAGGGGAAGATCGTTAGGAAAAATTTGAGCGTTGCTAGTGACGCCACCATGCCTCCCACGTTGAATGGGAGCAAAGCTCGATATTCGACTTTGTCGAACAAAAACGTGGTTACCAAGATAAAATCTGACCAGTGCTTGTTACGGATCTCATCTCCTCTGCTTCGACGTATCTGTTGGCTACCTCATATAGATGGTTGTTCTTTGTTTGCTTGTTTTTCATCAGAGCATACTTTAAAGGCTTGTGTTTAAATCCAGAGATATATGCGGAAATCGCCCAACCATCTAAAAGATCATGGATGTTGTGTGTAGCTCTCAAGAACTTCCTCGTATAATCCTTTTAAGGCTCACCAGTTTTTGGACCACACTAAACATGATGGTCTATGAGTAGAGGATAACTTTATTAGCTAAAAACTGTCCGACGAATGTATACCACAATGGTTTGAACTTGCCCACAACTGCAATAGGAAAAGAGTTGTACTAATTCTTGGCTCTTCTCATAAGAGTTGTTGGGGAGATTTTACCCTTCAACTCATCGGAGGCCCTTATAATATCCTATAATTATTGTATTAGGATTGATACTCAGTGAGATCTCTGGTCCCATCATAGGTCTCCTTTGGAAACTTGTAAGGTAGGGAGTAAGAAGTCGTTAACACGTGAGATATTAGATAAATCAGCTCCTCCATAGCCCAATCTCCTTAAGAGTTGTTCGAAGCATGAAGATCATCAATCTATCTTTGTATTATTTCTATCTATCTCATCCATTCTTCTTCACTTGGATCAACCGGTTAGGGTACTACATATTCAATGTTGCCCCCCTTTGATCAGATTCTAGAGGGAGAATTCTAGCACCTTGGATGTTTAGACGAGCAACAACTTGCTCTTGCCAACGTCACTTTTCAGCATTCAAGGCTTTTTGTTCCTTTTTCCTTGACCCTGAGAGAATCACAGTTCTTGAAGAATTTTTTATATTAACTCTTGTTGTTGTTTCCCCATTGCAGCTGTAGTTGAGCCATCTAGGAGATATGAAACTGCACTTGCAAACTTCGCAGTTTGCTTTGTAAAACTGTGAACTTGCAGGGTGTTTTGCTTGTAGAGATATGGGTTTTATTAATATTGTGATTGAGGAAAATGTTGGCTAGATTGATCACAGGTATCGTAATAGGCTTGGTAAGATCCGTAGTACGTTGGTACATATTTTGTTGTTGCTGGCTACAGAAGCCAAACTTATCAGATGGATTTTGAGATGATGGAAAGCTCAAATAGAAAGCTAAACTAGCTATTATGGGATGACTCTTGGGGAATTATCATGGTTGACTCTTTTAAGTTAGAAGTATTCTACGCTCAACAGATCAATTGATGGGTTGAAGATTCTCCTTCGTATGAAAAATTTTAAAGACCTTAGGGTCCCTAATACAAAAGAATGATAAGGAAGATATAATTTGCGAACGAAGTACAACAAGAAGCACAATAAATCATCGAAACACATGAGAAATTTCTCAAATATATGTAATATTACAGTCTAACGGTTATAGTAGGTTTCGAGAGAGGGGGATCTGAGTTTGTGTGCAATAGGGTGACAGTACAGTAGCAAAGCAGTGGCGAGTGACGACAAAAGTGTGGGGCAACAACACAAACTAGCAGCTGCGTGGGGTGCTAGCTTGTGCGGGACAGGGGTCCCAAAAATGTTGGGCAGGTTGCACTGGGTGCTGGACAAACTGCACGGTTGGGCGATGGGTGTGTGCACAAAGGTGTTGATCAGCCAGTAGGGTTGCGCACAGACTGCCTCAAGGGTGCACATAAACCGCTCTAGGGGGCATTGGCAGGTGCACAACCGAGTCTAAGGATTGGGTAGAGGTATGGGGTGATGGTCGGAGCGTACTGGTACCTTGGGTAGAGACACGCTAGGCACTGTGCGCTTGAGTGCTAAGCGTCGAGGATGAGGTGTTGATGGTTTTCAAGCAGAACACAAGTCGTCGCGATTTCAGATAATCGCATGTGAGGGGCGCATTAAGTGACGTGAAGGGTGAACCGTGCACCACCGTCGAAATACTTAAACAAATTGTTGAAGAGTCAAAATGTCATAGAGCAGAACGGCGAAAAGAAAAAGATGGATTAATGGGAAGTTAGTGTTTTGATCAATCTCGAGGAAGAAAACGACTGGATGGGAGCATGTTAACTTCAATTCCTTTTATAATATACATGTGAATTCATTATCTTTTTTTGCCATCTTCAATTAATGATAATTATTAATATTAATTTACAAATATGTCAAATAAATAATAATAATAATTTGAAAGGAGATGTACATTGAATCAATGCATGCACACCACAAAATTAATCTCCACTAGCAATACACTGATCAAACCTGTCGCTTACGTCTATAAACAACTGAAAGCCCTTTGAAATAACCCTTTTGTTCCATCTTCAACGACACAATAATAGCTTTTGGAAACAGACAAGCAGTGGTCCAAAGTTGCAGTCAACAGATCCATGATTTGATGATCCAATTTATCAACCCTTTGCCTAGATAAACTCGGAAAAGCATTTTATTTGGCAGCTTAGTAAATTGGTATAGATAATTATCATTAATGGGAGATAAAAAATAAAAAATTACAAATGGATTCATATATATTACAAAAGAAATTGAAGTTAACATACTTACAAAAGAAATTGATTTGATTTTTTTATATTTATATTAAGTTAAAATTTTATTTTATTTTTTTTTAATTTTTGATTTTTTTATGAAACAAACATTGTATTCACGTTCAGGAGGTTAAAAGGGAGTGAATTGAAAATTTTGAGATCCAACGATCGACGATGACCGATTACAAAAATAGATGATGACCGGTGAGAGTGGTAGTGACGGCTAGCGACATGAACTTTGACTGTATTCAGGAGTTGTTAGGATTATTGAGGCTCTATGAAACAACCAAAATAAGCTAAGAGTGGGTGAATTGACCTTTAAAAATATTGGGTATGGACTAAAGAGAGATAGCCAATTTGCACAAGGATTTATAGTAGTTCGACTTCTAAACCAAGTCTACATCCACTATCTTTGCTCTACACTAAGAATATTCTAACAAATTCACTAATTTGTTTTTTTTTTCTAGACTCAAGAGTAACATTTACAAAATTTTTAGTTTTTCAAAGGTTAAACTAGTACCATTCCCTTTAACACAGGTTAAGAAATGTAATCAAGAAAACCTCACAAAGATAGGTGTTTACAATAATTGAGCTCACAAGAAAGAATCTTAAATATATGCAAGTATGCTCAAACACTTATGTATAAGAGAAAAAGGAAAAATAAGATTAAAAGAGTTATTCTCTTGATCTCTATTGGTTGGATATGTGTTGTGACATTCTTTGTATCACCCTCAACCCGTATCCGACCCGGATATAAGTCTGAGGTGTCACATTGACTTTTCAAACTTTAACTTTTGACGAAAACCAAGGAAATTTAAAACTTTTATTAAAATAACATTGTTACTGTACACGAGTTAACCAAAACAAGACAAAACTGATCAGAGCATTTGTAACTAACACTTTTCTTACATGCCAACACACTATACACCATCAAAATACATACTTTAACAGTTACTTCTGATCTGATCTTTTAGCAGTGCTGTTGTTCTTGCCACTCCTATTTCTGTTCTTCCCGATTCTTGGTACCTACGTGTAAATCACTTACACGCTAAGTCTATGACTTAGTGAGGCAACAAACATATAATGTAACTTTAACTAGTAATCATACATAAACAATTACTACCATCATTTCACACAACTCATATACTTTTACATGTAACAAGTACATACATACATATATGTCATTATCATTCATATCTCTTATCTCTTGTTTCTATGATCTTTTATATCCATATCATATATCTTATAGATTTGTTATTATATTAGTATGTTAATCAGTTATACTCATTCACATATACCTTAACATGTACTCACGTATACCATATAACATATATATATCATGTCATGTAAAACATATATCCTATCGTAAATCAAATACACACAAGCAACTATATCATCATCTTCATTCTTATCACTATCATTTATTCCTTTTATCATATAATCTTATAATTACCATTTGTACCATTATATATCACACATAACATTTCACAAGGAAACAAACATATCATCATATCCATGTTATTAATATTATCTCTTTATTAGCCAATGATACACATGTGAGAACTGTAGATACGTGAGTCTATTGAGGTTGTGCACCACTATGCTATCACCACAGCTCGTATAAATGTCCCGAAAGACCTATCCAGAGGTCATAAAGATCCTCGATAACTATCCAGAGGTCATAAAGATCCTCGGTAACTATCCATAGGTCCCGAAGAACCTAGGTAAACTGTCCATATATTCTTTAGAACATAGGTAAACCCTTGACTCTTGGCATGCCAACTATACCTCTAGCTCTCAATACACATAACATGGGCATTTTCACTTATACACTTTCATTGCTCT